GTACTTAATGCCAATGAACTCAAGTAAGAAAGAAGGTCATTTATACAGGTGACCTGTGGGTGAAGGAGCAGAAAATGATGGAAGGAATGTTCCTTTTCTTTGTATGTTTAAGCCAGCACAAATCACTGTGTGTCAGCTTGTTTTACAATCCAGTGTTTTCACTTTTAATTAGAAAGTCTTTCCCGTAGCGTTTTTCTTAGCAGCAATTTTTAAACTAAACAGAAGGTGTATTCCCCAGTGCCATATGTTAAACCTGACATATTACTGAAAATGTCTTCTGGAAAAAACACCCAAACCAAACAAAAACCAACCCCCAAATCACTAAAAGTAGGACCACTGTCCCAATCCACTCCCTCTGGCCTATTTGTAAGCCTCAAGAGGACTCATCTGTCCTCTGTAAGGCAGAGCCATTTCTTTGGGGAATTCGTCATAACTGAAAAGCCAGTGATGATGGACTGATAATTTCTTCTTTGCTTTGCTTCTAACCTGTGTGGCTTGGAAACAGTCAGCTGCTACTTGGTCTTGTAAGTAACAGTCACATGGATCTGTGTCTGTGAGAGGTGAATAGTTCATAATACTTTGAGAAGTTACCTCCTTGATGTTCTTTGACCAGTATGTTTGCAAGCTATGAACTGTAGTCCACTTTAGGACTTAAACAGGAGGGGTTAAGACCTATGGGTAACCTTGACTTTGAAGTATGCAAGGAGAATCCAACTATGACCAGGGAAATGCCTGAATGAGGCTGAAAGGATCAGTGGAGCCCTGACTGATGTGGGCTGATGCAGTATTTTCCCCTTGTAATTCGTCCCAATATAAATTCCTGTAGATTTTTGTCTTTGCATAGAAGGACATTTTTTTGAGCCCCTTACCATATTTGGTATTTTTTGTTTGTGGGGTTTTTTTTTTGGTTGGTTGTTTTTTTTTATGTTTGTTTGTTTGGTTTGGCTTTTTTGTGAGTGGAGTCAGTATGATTAAGTCTGTCTGTAAACCTCTGCTATACCCAGATGAATGAAGGATGGATCACTGGGGTTAAAAAGCAGCAATAGGTGGGCAGACTCAGAAAACTGTAATGTGCTGATCCCCAGTTTGGATGAACTGTACCCAGCTGCATGATATATAGTGAGGTTGCTCATTTACAGAGCTTTTCTTCCAAGACTGTAAAGCACCAGTGTGAATACTGAGAGGTGTTGTGTGCAATCTTAATGTAACATAAACTACAGCTTTATGGGGGTCCCTCATCAGCTCTTTACTAGCCATGCTACAAGCTGGTATAGAATTGGAAACTGTGCTGTCTGAAGTATATACATGTTTCTTCTGATACTTGTCTAGGGAGGGCCATCTTCACAGCAATTCAGTTAAGGTGAGACATACTCGTATTTTGTATGAGTATGTGAAACCCTAAGCTATAAGCTCATAAAACGAGATTGCATACAACATGTTGATGGCCTAGGGGAAATTTTGAACAACAGGGCGTCATTATTGGGATTTTACTGAAAAAATGATCAATGATCCCATGTATTTTCCAACAGTCTTTGCAGAAAGACCAAGGGAGTTGCAATCCACATCTATGTTTGTAACTGTGGACAAATAAAAACCCAATAATTTTCCCTAGATGTACACAGGTTGTTTTTTGGGAGCCCTATGCCTTTGTATTTTCTCAGCAAAATAGCTATATATCAGTCTGTACACAGAACTACTTGCAGAGAGTAGCATTTGAGAACAAATTATTAAGTTAATACCTCCCTTGACCTTTATCTGGTCAAGCTATGTTTTAGAAACATGTCATTACTAATATGAAGAAGAGGTTAACTTAGTAATGTGAGGTTTTAGAATGATGGATGAGTTGAGGCATATGAGCTACTTAACATAGTACCTAGCTGCACCTTCTTACTGTAAGTCTCCAGAGTGTCAAGAAACCCAGAGGGAAGTGGAGAGGAAACCTCTCAGTGCTCTGTTTGAGCAATGACAAAAGCTGGAGGTGAATATAAACAGCCTTAACTCCCATCACTCATGCCTCGTGCCAGTATTTTGAGTGCTATTTCAACTTGGCTTAAAAGGAATCAGCCTCATGGCTTCTTACTAGCATGCACCTTAAACCTTTTACGTACCCTCTCCCAGTACTGGCCCTTCAGTTTATAGACCAATATTCTCAAAGCTAAGTTGTGTGACTGACTCCGTTGGCTGGGGTTGGAAGATCTCATCCTGGAGAGTTATGTATTTGTTATTTGTACATCAAGAAGGTCAGAATGATGCTCCCATGCTGTCACGCACACAGTTGTACATTCCCCTTTAAAAGTGGCAGAGCTGGTTAGCCCAACTGCCTGCCACTCACTGCTCTTCTGAGCAGGTTTCACAAAAACCTTAACCTGTGAAAGCTGTAACAATTCAATTGTATTTAAATAAAAATGTGATTAAAAATTAAAAATATTTATAAATGACACATACTGTTCCACTGTATTCCAGGCTACTTCTACTCTTCAATCACAGCTTTGCCTGAATGTCTCCATGCACTGCTGATGGGAACAAACATAACTTAAAAATCAAATGCAGAGAGCGATAGAGGGAAATACTGCCTATCTTACTAACGCCTGATACTGACAGCCTGCATACAAAATCTTAAAAGCACTTCCTTTTCTGGCCACTTTTAAAGGGTTTAATGAAACATATAGAAACTGACATTTTAAACCTGTAGCTTTAGATGTTAGTTTGCCGTGTCAGGGTTTTGTTTGTTTGGTTGGTTTTTTTGTTTCCCCACCACTCTCCACCCTCCAAATCACATAGCAATAGTTTTCTACCCTTCTGCTTCAAACTTCAGTCAACAAATAATGAAGGCTATTTTCAGATAATAAAATGTTTCTGTTCTTTGGCCTATTGTAACAGGTGGGCAGTCAAATATCACCAGAGGAAATATGTGGGAATGCCAGTTATGGACCCAAATCTTAGTCTTCCTAGGACGTACAAACAAAATTATCAAGTGTATCACCATACTTATAATTAAGAATAGTTAAGATTACAAACATTTTTTAGACCATGCTCATTTCCTTCCAGGGACAGTAGAGCTAAATACAATCCTTCTATAGGAATATATAAGGAAATATAAGGAGTATATAAGGAAGGTAGTAAATTCCTTATATTTTAACTCGTAGTCCTTAGACTTAAAATTGGTTTGAAAGTCAGCAAGTGATCATTCGTATTCTACAACAGCATGCCAAGTGATGTAACATTTCTAGAAGATGTCGCAGATGCAGGGAAAACAAATCAGGCATTTCCTCCTGAAGTGAAATGGCTAATACATCATATTTCATGAAACTCTGCAGAATTGCTTGGCTTATGAAAGAAGTGTAGGACTTGATTTTTATTTTTTTTTCTTTTTTCTTCACTATGGAAAATAAGGCCTTTATCCTGCAAATTGTTATGTATGCATTTAACTTGACGTGCAGCATATATTCCTGTAGATTCCACAGGACTGAATGCCGTGGATAGAGACATCTGTAACTGCTTACAAGACTGGAGCTAAAGAGCTTCAAAAAAGAAAATGAACAGAGGTAGGTTTTGAAGTACGCAAGCAAAATAACTGGAACAGAGATGCTTTCAGACACTGATCTACATCCTCGCTGTATATATTAATTCTGTGTTTCTGCAGTCCCTACGTGCAAAAGTTTGGGGACAGGTGGAAGAAGTGGGCTGATTCAGTTCTCCAGACTGGGGTTCGCTCCAAGGGCTACTCAAGCGAAGTGTTGCTACATTACCCCAGGCAGCATTTAACATATCCTTAAAATCCCTCCAGCTGAGGAGACGGGTTCAGCACTGGCAGTCCTGGGTCCGCGGAATAACGGCAGGGAGATTTCTGAGAGTCCCAGCCAGAGCTTACGGAGCGATTTTTTTTCTCGGCATATTAATCCTATCGATTTAAGTAGGAGTATTTATCCTTTTCTGAGCTCCATCCCCACGTTAGTATGACAGCACTATTGTCGTCCAAACACGTAGTCGGCGGCTCTTTATTAAGTCTCTATAAATACGACACAGTAAGGGCGTTCAATATTTATGTGTCGAGCACACGCATTTGTGTGTAATACCGGGCAGTCCTGCGGTTCGGAGGCTTTGCAGCCGCCCCGACCTCGGCAGCTGCCCAGCCCTCGCTCTCCGCCCGCCCCGGCTGGGGCTCCCGCCGCCGCCTCAGCGACCTCCCCCGGAGCCGCCGCGTGTGACACACCGGAGAAAAGCCTCCCTCATCCCCGCGTCGCCCCCGCCTCCCGCCCCCGCCCGCTCCCCCGGGGCGCCGCCGTCACCGCCGGCAGCCGGAGCAGCCGCTGAAGCCGAGGGGCGGCGGGGCTTGCCCGCCTCTCCCCCCTTCCCATCCCTTCCCTTCCTTCGCCTCTCCCCAGTGCCTATATATAGCCGCCTCTGCTCGATTCAGCCGGGAGACTGCTCTGTACCTGCAGGAGACAGGAAAGAGAAAATAAGAGGAGCCGCGAGGAGCGACTCTCCGGAGCCCGACCCGCTCGCAGGAAGAGGAGGACGGGCCCGGCCCACGTCGCTGTCCGGTGCCACCGCTCCGGTGCCGGGCGAGCCCCGCGGGGACGGCCCGACTTGCGCGGCGGCGCCCCGGGGGCGCGCATGGCTCGGGTGCTGCCGGGGCCGGGCGAGGAGCCCGACCCCGGTCCCGGCGGCTCGGGACGCGGGGGAAAGAGAGCTCCCTGCGGGCGGCGGTGCTAGCGGGGGGGCCGGGGCGGCAGAGCCCTCCCCCTTGGCGCCGAGGTGTGCTCGGCGGCATGTGCTGAAGTGCCCCGCAGAAGCCGCACAAGTTGCCTGCGCTTCGCGGCCCCGGCGGCCGGACGGCGGAGAGCGCCCGCCGCCTCCTGCCCGACCTGACCCGACCTCGTCCCGTATCCCCGCCCGGGAGCCGCTCCCCGGCGGGGCTCCCAGTGGCCAGGGTGATGCGGCTTGTCGGGAAGTGAGGGGCGGTGCGTCCCAGCTGGGCTGAGAGCCCCCCTGCCTCGGAGTCTTCCATGCTTTCGGGGTCCCCTCGGGTGGCGGCGGCCCCGCGGGAGGCGGGGGCGGCGCTGCCGTGATGGCCCTGGAGGAGAAGCGGGAGAAGCGCCCGCCCGTCACCCCCATGATGATCGAGGAGGAGGCCGCCCTGCGGAACGGCAGCCGGGGACTGACGCCGGGACCCTGGGCCGAGGCGGCGGGGCCAAGACCTCGCACCACGGAGCGGCACATCGCCGTGCACAAGCGGCTGGTCCTGGGCTTCGCTGTCTCCATCCTGGCGCTGCTGGCGGTGACCATGATCGCCGTGCTGCTCAGCGTCCGCTTCGAAGAGTGCGGCGCCGCCGCCGACGGCCCGCCGCGGGCCAGCGGCAACGGGAGCCTTTCGGGGGCGGCCCGGCAGCCGCCCGGTGCGGGGCAGCCCCACGGCCGGCCAGAGGAGGAGGCGCGGGGCGGGGAAGCGGCGGAGGAAGAGGAGGAGGAGGAGGAGGAGGAGTGGCAGAGGCGGCAGGAGTTGCCGCTCTGGGCCCGGCCGCGGCTGCCGCGGCACCTGCGGCCGTTGCACTACAACCTGATGCTGAGCGCTTTCATGGAGAACTTCACCTTCAGCGGGGAGGTGAACGTGCAGCTGGAGGTGCGCAACGCCAGCCGGTACATCGTGCTGCACGCCCACCGCATGCACATCGAGGCGGTCCGCGTGGCCGAGGACAAGCTGGCTGGCGGCGTGCGGGTGGCCCGCACCTTCTTCTACCCCCAGACACAGGTGTTCGTCGTGGTCCTCAACCGCAGCCTGGAGGTACAAAGAAGTTACAACCTCAAGATTATCTACAACGCCCTCATCGAGAACGAACTGCTGGGCTTCTTCCGCAGCTCCTACGTCCTTCACGGCGAGCGAAGGTAGCGGAGCGGCCGCGTCGCCTCAAACCCAACTTGGTCCGAAGTTGGCATCCCCCTCGCCGAACTTCGGGCGAGGCGGCGCTAGGACCCGGCGGCCGCGGAGCCGCCAGGCGGGTGATGCCGCGGGCTCCACTCGCCTGGCCCCGGCGGTGCCGCCGAGGGGCGCGGGGCTCCGCCGGCCGCCCGGGCAAGGGCTGCGGCGCGGAGGAGCGGCCGCCAAGCCCAGTCGGTCGGTGAGCACAGGCTGGGCCTCGCCTCCCGCTGCCACCGCTCGCGTAGGGTCCCCGTAAGGCTGGCGCTGGCAGGGCGGAGCTGCGGAGGCTCTGGGGGACTGCGAGTCCTTGCCCGCTCCGCGCCACCGGCTGGTGTCGGGAGAGCGGCTGGAGGGTGCCGAGGCTGAAGGGCTGCGTGGGAGCGAGCAGGGGCGGGCGGAGCTGCCCCGGGCTGCGGGGGGGACGGGGTTGGGGCCGTGCGGGAGGCCGGGTCGGGGTCAGCCGGGGCCGCCGGCAGATGAGCGGAGCGCTCCGCCTGCGCGCCCGCCGGGGCGGCGAAGGCTGCGAGTCAGGAGATGCCCCAGCGCGGCTTGGGGACGGACGGAGGTAACGAGCCAATTTCCAAGGGTGGCAAGAGTGAAGCAGACCGTCCGCTCGGTCCATGTCGGGGCAGGCCCGGAGAGGAGTCTCCGGGTCTGTTTAATGACTCCGTGTGTGTTTGGCTGCCGTGTGCCCTTGTGTGACAGAGCCTTGCCAGCAGCGGGACTTCTATGCTGGTTTAATTTTATTCTATTATCCGAAGGAAGAACGTGAATGTGAATGTGATTTCACGTAACGTGAATACGTTTACACCTCTGCAGCTGAGTCGCTGTAGGTTTATACCCTGCGACCGGGCAAACGTAACTAGTTTTCCTGCAGAACAGGATTCAGTTTTGATTTGTATTTACTCATGTTGTTATAGCCCCTTGGGTTCCTGTCGAGGCCCTTGTTAGGTAGGCAAGGTCACTGAGAAGGCCCTCGTTTAGGCAGTTAGAGAGGCTTTCTTTTTTAAAGTAGTTTTCTAACCACAGTCAGGCTTTGTAATTGAAGAGAAGGATGGCATGGGCTTCATGGTTCTGGCATGGCTTATCATTTTAGAATTAGTTTATTTTTAAGCCGTCCCTTCTTGAAACATCTGTAGATGAAACACGTGCAGTGATGAGTTTTCCTGAATCTTACTGTTTTATACTGCGAAATGAAACAAAGAGTTTATAGTTGGAAGAGCTGGGCAAAAATACTATGTCAAACATGAAAAGCATCCTCACCAACCGAATTAAGTCAAAAGCCCTTTTATTAAAACGTATTTTCATTACTATGATTACTGACAGTTTTTAAGCAGTCTGTTAGAATTGCAAGCAGGATTGAAATTAAGTTTTTGCAATTTGTCATCAAAGTGAAATAAAACGGAAATTTGCAAAAGCATGGTCGTAGGAAAAGATGCGGATAAAATGCCTGTTACCACGGATGATTGAATGGCTGGGGTAATTGAGAGTTCTTACAGACCTGAATGGAAATGGGCAAATCAGAAAACAAGGTACTGTTAACAGCAGGGGGTATAATTCACTTTACAAATCTGAGAAGTTATTTAAGCAGTTATTATTCTTGTGTACTTAGACTTTGTATAGGAGTAATTGAAGTGTCAAATAGGTGTGGCAGTGACATTTTTCCAGAGTTACTGTACTATGCTTCAATACAGATTCCCTAGTTAAGATTTAAAAACCACCACCAACAAAAAAAGGTCCATTCACTTTTTCAGTCATCAGAGTAATTTAAGATACAGGATGGAAGGCATATAAAATGTGTTTCCCAGTACTCTTTGTGTAACTTTCCAGATAAAAATTGCTTTGTTTTTAATACACTAAGTAAAGTAATGCAAGATCTAAGGATAGATACCTTACCTTATGTAAGGTAGCATTGCTATATTGAAATCGATGGCATGTTATTTCTTTACACCAGTTCATTTATATTTCTTTCCATAAAATGTTTTCAAAACTGTAATCATCGTGTGGTTATAGTTTCAGGTGTTAAATAGAAGTAGTGTTTTTCAACTGGCACAGGCTTAATGACTCACTATAGTATAAAGTGAAAAATACACTTCTAAAGCAGGAAACTTTTGTGATCAGAGCACAGTCTTACGATGTAACAATTTGCATTTTTATTAATAACCCATTTTTTAATGTAATACATATAACAATTTATGGTCCTTAAATGTGGACAACTTCTATTATGATAGACAGACAGGCTTCTTACATGCTCCCAGAGACTTTGATGCTCCAACAGGGCTTTAGCTTTTGACATCAGATTAAAATACAGTAGCCTCGTTGGAGTAAAGTTGCTAAAGAAGGGCCCAAACCATATTTCTTTTCCACTTTTGTTGTACATGAAGAGCTAATAACTCTGGGTAACTGTGAGGCATCACAAACATAGTAATACCTTTACTTTATGATTTTTTTTTCCTAAAGTTACTTTCTGTGGTCTTCACAGGTGAAAGTCATTAATCAGTCTGAAATGTTGACAGCTGCATAAAAGCAGCTTCTGACTTAAGTCTTTTCTACTCTATTTGAGATGTAAAATGCAAGTGATATGCTACAAATTTACTTTGCATTATGTGCCAGAATTTACTGGCAGTAATCAACAGACATATAATACAGAGCTACTGTAGAGTACTGTAAAAATATGCAGGCATAATTTAAGTGAACGTCAAACTGTGGCTTAAATGAAAAGGAAAAAAAAATTCTTACATCACACAGACAAAACAAACAGACATATTCGTTAGTCTTGTAACAACTAAGATGTCAAAATAGATAGGTTGTTGAGGAAACATGTCTTCCTTTAACAGATGAGATGGCATTAAAACAGCTGTGAAGTACTGCTGTGGGTATGAGGAGAAGACAAGCTGCAAGCCTGTCATTCCCCCAAGTAAAACTTTATATGTTCGTATTTTTGGGAATTGGAAATACAAGTGTTGGTGCCCAAAGTGGTGTGTAAAGAGATGGATGAAATACTCAGCTTGCTCTTCACTTTTATTATGGTATAGAAGTTTCCTTGTTTTACTTGAACACAGAGACAATGTTGTGGGTTTAGTTTGGGTTTTTAAAGTATAAATGTTTAGTTTTTGGGAAGCAGTTTTAACTTTTTGTTTGTTTTGCTTTATGGCACAACAAGCAAACAAATTTGATAGTAATGCACATGTTATAAATATCACCTTTATTGGTAGTTGATATATTTCTAGTATGAAATATTGACCACCGAGTGTTTGCCCAATTCCATCTATGTGGATACATATCTACCTGTCTGGGAGAATACAGATGATGAGGCGTTTACCAGGGTTATCAGGATTTATTACCTGGTGAAGGGATTGTTTCAATGGCCTAATGAGTATTAAATATAAAAGTATTAAAGAGAGAGGTTGGGGAGGGGGGAACAAGGGAAAGCTTCCTTATTTGGAGAGTGTCACAGTATAAACAGTATTCCCTGAGTACAGATTTACATGTATGTTGGACCTCATTAAAATTATTAATTTCAGAGGAAAGTTCATCATTCTTGCTTTATTAATAACAGGCCAGTACAGTTTTCCATGCTCACTTGAGGCTTCTGCTGATGTCTGTAGCTGCTTAGAGTGTGCTTAGAATGCAGAATCAGGTCCACTTGAAATACTTTGCATATAAATTAAGTTGCTTTGCTCCATTTAATTGGCTGATTTGGCTTTGTTGCACTAGTACAAATCCACTGATAATATGGAATTTTTCTGTATTAACACTGGAATACCTGACACCAAATTTTTACCTTAGATTTAGCAGCCTTATGCAGAGTTATGGTTTTAGTAATGCATTTTTTGTAACAAGACAAGAAAAATGTGGTACGATGAATTCCTTCAATATGTACTAGCCAAAAAAGGCTTTTTATTTTAGACATAAGACTGATCATAAATGCCTCAGTGGTGGTAAAAATTTTCAAATTTAAAAAAAAAATTATCCTTATTTGAAAGAGATGATAATTCACTGGAAAACATATATCTAGTTCTACCGGGTGCAGATGCACTATAGCAAGAAAAAAGTATAACATTTCAATAAATTTATTTCTTCATTGTCTCTAAAATATGTGTAAAACCCAAGAAGTTTTAGAAAAAGTTAGTTAGATACTTCACTTTCCTTATGGGCTACCTATTTTCTTCCTCAGTGTTAGAGGGTATCACATTGCAGAATAATGGTTATAGACTGATTAATAATAGGTGCCACCGTTTTCATTATCTCAAAACTGTCCACCCATCCTCTTCCCTTTAGAGGAATAACAGATGATTAGTCAGCCTCTAAAATTTTGATAAATGTTTGCCTGGTATCTAAAATTGCATGGTTATTTCCACTGATGAAACCTTGCAATGTGAGAGGTGAATCAATACCACTCAAAAAGCCTATGTATGTGCAACTTTTACAGTTACATAGTTGGCCCATGGTAATTTTTTCACTCTGCATGCCACTAGAAAATACTTTTATCAAACCCCATAATTCAGCCTTGAAGTGTAACTTCTTGTTTCTGCAAAAAGATCACTGCACATGGGTTTTCTCTTTATGTGTAAGTCTCTACCCAAAAAGTTTCCTTTTCTGTATCTGATTTAAATCTCTCATTAATTGAAAATATTTATTTGTTCTCTCTAAAATACACTAGAAAAGGAAACCACATGTAGAACAGTGAAATAGTCTTTGCTTGTTTAAACATTTACTGACGCTTGTAATTCGGCAAAGCTCACAGAATTTTTTTTGGATGTGCACAGACACCACAGTGCTGTGCAGCACACTGTCCCAGGCCTACCTGCAGGCGATACAGGAGTAAACAGCAGTGGAAAACAATGACCCTCCTGAGTGCACTGTGTGACCGTAAGTTCTCGTGCCCAAAGAAAGGCAAAGTGCCCTGTCAGTGTCTCAGGGCAGAGTGAACTCCTCGAAGGCTGTTAAATCCTGGTTTGAACTAAGGACTGTACTTGTTTTACATTGTAACCACTAGTGGCTCACTTTTTTTCCCACGTATTGATGAAAAATACTGCTAGAACCTAAAGTTTGATGCAAGACAAGGAGTTATTTATTTAACATCATCGTGGTGTCTGCAAATTTGTATGAAATTCGTAGACCATTACTTTGTATCAATTGCATTGCAGTAGAGGTAGTAAGAAAGTGATAAAGCAGTGTTCAGACAGTTGTTTGAACTGTTTTCAGCAGTTATACAGTTGTATTTTTCCCCACTCTAGACCAGAATAGTCAAGCAATGTCTTATTTGGTATGTTTATGCATCAAGTGCTGGGCACAGTTACTAATCACTGTTTATTTTTGTTTATTGCTTTTCTAGGTTTCTTGCTGTTACGCAGTTTTCTCCTACTCATGCCAGAAAAGCCTTTCCTTGCTTTGATGAGCCCATCTACAAGGCCACTTTCAAAATCAGCATCAGACATCAAGCAACTTACTTGTCTTTGTCCAACATGCCAGTTGAAACTTCTGTTTTTGAAGAAGATGGATGGGTTACAGATCACTTTTCACAGACCCCTCTTATGTCCACATATTACCTAGCTTGGGCAGTGTGCAATTTTACATACCGCGAAACTGTCACCAAGAGTGGAGTAGTTGTAAGTATTTCTAATGTATCAAACACATTTCACTACTTTGAAAACCCTCACTTTTTATAGGGGATCCTACCATCAAGTACTTTAACTATTTTCTTGATTAGCATTTCTAAAATTTGCTAGTATGTTTAATACTGGTGTGTATCATTTGTGACCTTTTCTGGAGGTTTGTCTAAAGTTTTTGGTTTGTCTTGGGCTTTTTGTAACTGGTTAACTTAGTAGGTGTGTTTGTCTGATGAAATTTTAAGCTTTTAAATATACCATTTCACTTTGCTTTGGTTTTCTTGGAAAGTTTTGTCTTGTTTTTTCTATAGCCTTTTCAGTACCAGTGTTCACGAGACTATTAATTAAAAGAAAGCAGTAGTACTGGGTTAAGAAAGCAGTAGGGTTTCCAGTCTCCTTCCTTCAGTACTGACACGTCCTGTGGTTTGCTGTGTGCTAGCTCAGGAGGCTGATACAGTAATCTCTATCTTAGATCTTTTGCTCAGGAGCAGGACTTTGTAACCTAGCTGCTTCCTGAGGTTGATGGAAGCACTAATTTTCTGAAACCATTGTTTCCTGATATGGCACGGTTCCAGGAGTTACACTATGACCTTTATTTATGTAAGTTTTGGTTTTGTGTACAAAGATCAAGCTCAAAACTGTATAACAAGCCAAAACATACATGAGAAATGCTGTCAGCTTAATAGAATATTTCACAGAGCTGTCATCTTGATTTTTCAGGTGAACATACAGAGAAATCCTTCCTTCATAGTTACTGTGAATAACAAAACAGAGCTAGTTCTGGAAGCAGAGGACTAGACAGCAGTTTGATCTGTGCACCTGAGCAAAGGGATGTTTACCCTTTTGCAAATGTTGTATGACTTTGTGCTGTAGCGTGGGGGCATGAGGAAGGACTGCAGGCTGGTCATATCAGGAAATATCTCCTTAAATGCTTTGAGCCAGCCTAAGCACTGTACTGCTGTGGAGGGAGCTGCTCCCATCTTCCCTGAACCAAAGGTATTCTTTACCTTCCTTGTGCCAACCTTCACCTCTGTACAGCCACATGATCTGGCTGAAAACTGACCTGAAAAATAAATGAAAATGCGGTAAGTTTTCAACCAAAACACATCTCCAATCCAGTTTTTTTTTGTGCAGCTGCCAGAGCCCTAGCATGGATTTGAGGCTGTGCTGATGGAAGGTTGACCCAGGAAACCCCTTTGGATTGGCATCTCTGATTTAGGCCATACTGAAGGAGTCAGCAAATAAGTCTTGGTTTTGTCACTGGAACAGCTGGATAGGATATGGGGGGCCTTTCACTTCTCTTCAGTCCTTTCGTACCATGGCTGACAGATTATGACACTATTCTCTGGCCCCACAAAAGAAGCAACCATGACTAGAAAGTGCTTCTTTGAGGTGCTTTAACCTAGGAGTACAAGGATATGGGAACTACTGAGGCCATACTTGCGGTTCTCATGTTACTTTTGATGGCTGAAAGGCTTTGAGTTTGTGGTTTGGATTTTCAGTGGGGTTTTAGTGTATTTATTTGTTTATTTTTCTAGATTGTTTCTCTTGTCAGTACAGTGAGTTAATTTAGAAAAGGAACTCAAAAGTGCCAAGGTAAAGAAATAAGGAAAGAGAAGTGGATGCTTGGTTCTTAGTGTTACTTGCAGCAGATTAAATATTTGTACAGTTGCTATTGCTCTTGGGATGAGAAACTGGTTGCCTCTGACTTTTTAATAGTCATAGAACCATGGATTAGAAGGGACCATAAAGACCATCTAGTTCCAGCCCCCTGTACCTTGGGCAGCAACAGTTTCCACTAGATCAGGTTGCTCCAAAGCCCCATCCAACCTGTCCTTGAGCACATCCAAAGATGGGGTGTTTACAGCTGTTGAGGGCAATCTGTTCCAGTGTCTCACCACCCTCACAGTAAAGAATTTCTTCATTATATCTAATCATACCCTCTTTCAGTTTAAAGCTGTAACTCCTCATTCTATCACTACACTCACTGATAAAGTGGAGTGTTCACTGGCCTAGTAGAACGGGGTAGAGGTATCAGGCTGTTTCTTACTTGTTGTCAACCAGTATTGGAACAGACTTCAACTCAGGTAGGATTTGATGATTTTCATTGTAATGTACTTCACCTGGTAAAGGATTTAGCCTGAAATTAAGGATGCCTGATAGTTTTCAACTTTAGAAAACACTGAGGTCTCTAATAAGATGGAAGTTGTTTGGTGTATACTCTGGTAGGTAGGTCTCATGTTCCTTGTGCTCTAATACAAAGTGATGCTTGCAAGTTTGTGCTACGTAATGCTACCTTGTTATCTCACTCTGAAGTGTCCTGGGCTCATCTGAGAACCAGTTTCAAGCAGTTGGGCTTTCAACATTAGTGTCAGCAACTGTATGAAATGTGGGGATAGGCCTTAGGACCATCATCAATTTGAAACCTACTTTCTCTTTAACTCATTTTCTTGTAGTGTTGTTCAGAGCTCATATCCTGCAGACTTTTGCTGCTTGAGTATGTTTGGTAACCTCTTGTGTTTGGCAAAACTGGTCTCATGACTTTAGATTTAACACAAATCTGAAGAGAAAATCCAAGTATTTATTTGTTAGGAGTTTGTGGCTTCTAGAGCTTGATTATTATGCTTGAATCTATTGATTTAGAGCATTTGGACGTATGTATACTCCACCAACTTGACGGTATCAGTGTACAGAATTATGCCAAAAATTATGCAAATTAGTAGGTTAATCTTTGCAAGGACTTCAAGACCAAAAGCCTGCTTAGATTGAGATAGTTTGAGATTGTTTGGTTAGTCTAGAGTTTTAGCTCTTGCTTTTCATAATATACCTCTGTAATAGGGGCGTTATTGCCCAGGAATACCAGAATAGTTCACACTATTCACACACAATAGGGTTATTGGTTAAATATATCTTGCTATTTTTCAGTCCATTTGGGATCTGATCATCTTTAATCATGGTTCAGTTTTGTTGAAGGAGTATTTTTTAAGGTATGAATTCACAACAAGCACTTCAGAGCTGTGACCTTTCAGATGAATTGCTGAGGTAATCCATGTCTTTGAGTCTCTTAAATTGCAGTACCAGGAATTCATGGACTCTACTTGCCGAATTTGAAAATATCTGAATCCTTGCACATGCAATTTCCAACTTCTTGGTTTCCTTCAAAGCCACTTTTTCACTAAAATACAGTTACTCCCACGGCAGTTAATATAAATGTATAATAAAAGTGTTTCCTTGTAAAAATGAATGAATTTTCAGGAAAATTAAACAAACCTTCAGTTGAAGCACCATGATAAGCAATTTCTTGCATTAGTGAATCTTTCTTCAATTCAGTTAATGCATTGTATATTATATTTATTTTGTAGGCATACTGTAGACATTTAAAAGACTTCACACTGCATATACCTTTGCTTTTCTTTTGGCACTTCCCTAAACCTGGTTTTGATTCACAAAACACTTTGGGGGCAGGGGGCTGTCCTTTCAAATTTTGACAGCAAAGTTAAGATTTTAATTAAAATCTCACCTCTTTTCCAGCTGACCAGTATGAATAAAATGCTGTGGACAAGAGTGTATAAATTCTGAGAGGAACAGAATTAACTGTGAGATTAAAAACAGATTTGTTCCTCAAAACTGCTTAAGTATTAGCTGTTCATTTCAAAGACCTCAAAATTAGTTTAAACCTAAGTGTGACATTCAGTACAAGTCAGGTTATAAATAGAAACTGACTTTTGGAAAGCTTAGGTAGCCAATTAAACCAGGAATTTTTCCATATCCTATATAATTCTTGGAGACATGAAGACATTCTATATTTCATACACTAAAATTAATTTGGAATTTAGACAAGCAGTTATTTTCTAGGAGCACAGCTCAGTGGATGTAAATCATTAGCATAACTCTTTAGTCCATATGGATCTGATCAGAATCCCTTCCAGAGTAGGTAATTTAAAAGCAGAGCTGACTTTTTTATATGCATTGCAGATATATAATATGTTTTTTAGATTAATCTGGGATTACAGGAAATCACTGCAACTGCCTTTGTCTTTGGGCAGGGGCTTTGTTCCTGTGGAGAGGGTTGTGGTGCAGTCATCTATGTTGCTGTGGTCTAGGGAGCAGTATAGTTCTACCAGGGTGGTGCCTGAGGTAATGCGGTATTAAGGGAGGAGGGATGCCCTTGCAAGCAGGCTTAGCTAATCACTGTGTGGCTCTGGCAGGTGTAAGATGTAGTTGGTGAAAATCATGGGATCTGTGTCATCTTTGCCCAATATGATAATCCAGAAAACTCCACTTACCTCCACATGCTTGCTTGCTTCTCCTCTTACATTGCATTTCCTAATCATACCTCTTATATATATTCTTTGTCAATAATTCTTAAAAGCAAAATATTGCTGGCTGGATTGCGTTGTATGTTACATCATCTCTTTGTCTCTTTCTTTCATTGTTGTCTTTATCTGTGGTTTCAATTCACCAAGCCTTTTCCTACTATTGTTGCTTTATTATTTCCCCTGCTTGGATTAATTTTTACAGTACTTCATGTTTAGCTGTGCTTCTATTCTTCAAAGCCTCTGTTTCTCATTCCTTTGTCAGGTGAACATGGAAACTCACTATATCCTGCATGGCTTTTCACTGTCTCGTAAGTTATTTTAATTCCTTTTTTTCCTGCTAATTCTTTCTCTTTTCAGTTGGTGGAAGGAGTGGGCACTCAGGGAAAAAGCACAAAATATCAATTGAGATGAACATATTTCTGAGAAGAGATGTTTTGGGGTGATTCCCATTCTACCATTCTTTTTTGCTGTGGATGGGATGTGGAGATATGTATGGAAATAAAATGCCAACTGGCAGCTCTAAAATGTTTCTCTTGTCAGAGGGAGTATCTGATAAAAAGAAAGTGTGTGGAAAGGAGTGGAATCAGGAGGAATTCTGGGTGCAGGGGTTTCAAGAGACAAGTGCAAACAGTGCCAGAGCAGATGGGAATGAGCAGCTGTGAAAGAAAGTGGCTATCTCTC